CAGATATGGAAAGTAAAGTCCAAACCTTGAAATACTTCATGTATGAATCTTTGAAAAGTAGCTGGAGCATTTCGCAAACCGAAACTCATTGCATTAAATTCATAGAGGCCAAATGGCGTAATTATAGTGGTTTTCTGCTTGTCCTCTTCGGATATAGGAATTTGGAAATAGGCTTTGAAAAGATCAATTTTCGAAAATATTTTTTTTTGTCTTTTAAAATGTGGTTAAAATCAGTAATTCTAGGTATAGGGTATCTTTCAGGAATAGTTACAGCATTAAGTCTTCGATAGTCTCCACAGGAAGGAAAATTTCCATCTCTTTTAGAGACTAAGTGGAGAGGACTAGCCCATGGAGATGTAGACTGTCTTATTATATTGTTTTCCAACATATACTGAAATTCTTGTTTGGCAATCTGTAACTTTTTACTGTCGAGCTGCCTGGGCTTGGAATACACCGGTTGACCTTCAGTTAAAATGTGATGCTTAACACTGTGCTTAACATTTGTTATCAAAAGATTAGGTTTAGTAATATTCGGATACTTGGATAACAGATCATGATATTTTAACTTATCATGTACAAAACTTATATCATTCATTTTGGAGATGGATGTAATGTCACATTGAGTAGTAAGGTTAGTTACACCATCTATTAATCTTTTGTTGTTTAAATCAATTAATAACTTGAAATGGTCCAAAAAGTCTGCTCCGATTATGCCTTTATTAATTTTGGCAATAATGAATGGCCATCGAAAAGCTCGACGAAGGCCAAGATCAAGCGTTAAAAATTGTACCCCATAAGTGGGAATTTTTCAGTGCCATTGGCGGCATATAATTTGAAATCACTTTGAAGTTTATCTTTTTTTGTAGCAGGTAATAACGAAGCGTCTGCGCCGGAATCAATTAGAAAATGCAAACCCGTGTGTTTGTCAGTCACAAATATTCGGTGTTTGCGGCCATCCTGAACATAACCTGCAGCAAAATCAGCCGCTAATTCCACTGCTGGTTTAAGTTTTCCGGCTTTTTTTGACCCCAAGAGCAATTAGGTTGACACTTTTCAGGAATGCATTTTGAGCCAAACATGTAATGGTAATAACAATACTTTCCATTTGGATTAAATCGTTTACGTTTATTACTTCTACTTCGCTCTCTGTATCTATCGCTACTACGATTTCGAGACCGAGATTGGCGAGAAACACTTAAAGTTTCTATTTGTTTTTCCAGAGACGAAATTTTTAGCAGGAACTCATCGACCGAATTTAAATTTTTGCCAGAGGAATAAATTTCAGGCTTTGAATTCATTTCCATTATTTTGTCGGCCATTAAAGCTATTTTGTCTAACCCTTCATCGGAAACCAGTAAAATATTTTTATCGAGTCGGGCATTTTTCTAGCTACAATGTTTTGAGTACTTTATCTGAAACGCCATCAGTAGCGAGCGATCTCATTTTTTGAAGTAACTGACTGGGTTTCACATCCCCAAGGTCAAGGCCAGCGACTAAGCGTTTAATTCGCTTATTTTCGCTCTCTTTGAATGTGTTTAACAGTCTTTCTTTAACTAAAGCATATTTATTACCAGATGTTTTATCCGTAATTATATCCCAAATAATTTCAACATATTTTGGCTCTAGTTGAGAAACTACGTAATTAAATTTGGTACTATCAACAGTTATGGCATTAGTGTCGAATTGAGCTTCTATTTGAAGAAACAAAATTTCAGGCTTTTCTGGCCAAAAAGATGGAATTTTGACACTCACCTTGCAAGTTTCCAGCGTTGATGTTCCTTCCATAATCCAATGTTACGGTCACCAATCTTTTTATTGTGGATTTGATGAATAAGCGAAATCGAACCTGATCAGCCAGAGCATTTCATAATTGAAATAAACGCTTATTTTGCTGTTAAAAGAAACAGCATATTAATTTTTTTTAGTTTCCATTCTTGTTTGCAACATGTTACTTATTTTTACACAAAAATATAACAAAACTTCTAAGAAATAAAGCTTACGCAACGCTTATCAACGAACGCTAGAAGTAACTACGTTTTTAGCTCGACTCGTTGTTGCCACACGGCGAATCTTAATAACTATTCAAAACATTACATCATGTTGCTACTTAGGAAATCTTAATAATTATATGGAAACATTAAATTATGTTCCACTACAGTATCTACTGGTTACAAAAAAGAAAAAAACAAGGTTTTAATTTCTCTCACAAGTGGAACCCCTGGCGCCCTCTAGTGAGGGAAAGAGACTTTAGATGAACATTTAACACTGATTTTTCCAAGCCCCAAAATGTTATTATTTATTTGGAAATCATATCTTCCCCTACAACTACATTGAAAGCTAAAGAAACATCATCATCCCCTTTTCGTCCATGTAGGCACCATCCGAAAATAGTTTCCACTGCAACAAGACTTTTGCTTAAGTATTTAGCGTGTCCCATTATTATGTTGTAATAATAATCTGCTCCAATCAGAATGGCAATGGGTTTTTTACAATCGGGAAAATCTGCGAGCATCAAATTCTTTAATTGATTGTTTTGCTTAATTTCTTCTGATTTAGGAGGAGGAATATCTGTACCTGATATATGATCAGTTACTAATAATTCAACTTCTATTCTAGAATGGGGAGATCTTCTATGTTCTAAAGTTAATTTAACTATGTCATAGTTTTTTTAGATGGGTGAGGTATTCCCAAAAGTGTAGACAGTCAATTTTTCTTTTCTTATGACTTCGAGGTTTAATCTGTCCGCTAACTCGCGAGCGCAAAAACTTTTCATACTTCCACTATCCAAGATAAGTCTGGCAAACACCTTTTCCTTAGCTGTTTTAACTTTTATTATGCAAGCCTGAAAAAAAAAATTGTGTTATTTACACTATGTGAAACGGCCGAAATAATTTCTTCTTTCTCTTCCTTAGTTTGTGTATCATTTCTCGAAATTGATATACTATCCTTTTTTTCATTTGGTGTATTTTTAACTATCAAACTGGATTTAAAACATATGGCTTCCGAATGTTTACCTTTGCAAATTTTACTAACTTTAGTTTGATGTTGCCGGCATTCTGAAATTTTGTGCTTAGGTGCAATACAAAGAAAACCCCGCGTTTGCTTCTTCAAAATCTCATGTTTCATAAATTCATTCAAAAAATCAAAATTCATAAATTACTTCTTGCTCTTCTCATTAACTGTGAAGCATAAACAGGACTCTGTGTCATGGTTTTGAAAACAAAAAATGCAGTTTCGATTTGATGTCACGGCTGCCATAAATTCATGTGTGGTGACAGTTTGTTTATGTTTAGGCGTCGTGGATATCTGTTAATAGTTTTCATTTCCGGTTTTGAATTGCATGGAAAGGATAAGGAATTAATTTTTTCTCAGGATTCTATTTCTAATCGGAGAAAGTCTCGAAATTTGTTTAAATCATAGGTTGAAGGATTTCCAGAATTTGTACGATGAAATGCTAACGTTATATCGTTCGGGACAATTTTCATAAAAATTGGAATAAACATGTTCGAATGTGTTTCTGGTTTCACACCGAATGCTAAAAGGCTTCTGACTTGAACGTTAATTGTATCATAAAGTTTTCGCAATTTTGCTACTTTATTTGAACTTTGAATGGGATTTAAATTTAAGAGGTTAGAAATGTGTGTATTGATAATAAGGTCACTTTGACCGAATCTGTTTTTAAGAATGTCTATAGCAGAGTCATAATTAGCCTCTGAAATTGAGAGACCCGCTATGGCTGATGCTGCATTTCCACATAAATAAGTTCTCAAACAATTAAATTTTTTGATATTCGAAAGCGTAACATTGTCATGAATAGTGACCTTGAATGAATTCAAAAAATTCACCCAATCGTTATAGTCTCCGGAAAATTTGTGAATTAAGAGTTTGGGCAATTTCACATTACCTTCAATCTGTCTTTTGGTTTCAACTTAAGTTCGTGTTGATATTTTGAGTATTGTATTTCTTTAAATATCGGTTGATTTTAGACTTCGTTATTATTATTTTATCGTTATATTCCATAGAAGTGTTAATATCTGACTCTAATTTTGATTCATCTTCAATCAAATTTTGTATTTTTTCATTTAAATCATGTAGTTTCGTTTCTTTACTGTTTAACAATTCCAAACAATTTTCTAACTCTTCTTGTTTTTCTTCTTTTAAATACTCATCTACATTTTAAATAATTTTGAGTTACAGAAGCACGTATATGTGCTCGATTCTTATTTAGTGTCTTCTGTTCCATTTTAATAAATTATCAAAGGAGACTTACCGTGAGCAGTCTTCGCTTACAAAGCTAACCCAAAAGACGGAAAACAGAAAATTTCAAATTAATCAGATTCTTTTTCGTTTCCCAGCGGACGCACCATTTGAAACGAAACTTCTAGATCAAGTTCGAATCACTCATAATAATCCAAAATGAGATGCATGACCTGGAGGGTTTTACATAATTTAATTAAACGTAACATTTACATATATACAATGTAGGCTAAAATGCCTGAATGGAATATTAAGGTTCAAAAAGCAAGAACTGGATAGTTCAATCAAAGAATCTAAATCGAATTATATTGCGTAGTGCATCGAATTCTACCTTCAAGAAGAATAAAATTTCAAGTCACGTGTTCAGAAGGGGAAGGGTTAAGTAAGCCGAACAGATGGACTTCTAACGCCATCTCTTGGCTATATCAAAGGATATTCCTTAAGAATCCTAACCGTTTTTTCATTTTGAAAAATCTAGGTTTGTTTTATTATTTTTTCACAAATATTTAAATGCGCAATATATTATTAGCTCTTCAGAAAGTAATGAGGAGATTCTCAAACCGTGTAGAAAAGCAAGGTATACATAGGAACAAGGAGACAAAATACCTGCTGTTAAAGACTGTCGAAAATGTCTTCAACAAAATAGACATTTTTCAATCAAAATCGTAAAAAACAACCTTATATTTAGCGTAGGTATAATGAAACACTCAATCGATTTCGAGGGCAGCTAAAGGTCCCTCCTCATCAGGAGAAAGAAATACATAGAAAGAAGAAAATAGGAATCACAGAAACACGTGGTGCTTATCAGCACTGCACGTGGTTATAACTAGATTTTTAATCAGAGTTGCACTGGCCGCCTACTTTTACTGAGCCAGGCTGTCTGATCAAGCATAAAGAAATATTAGCGAAGTTAAAATAGGGAGCGAGGGGCAAATGCACATTACGCTCAAAATCTGAACTTCAAATAATGGAAAGCAACCACTGAACGGATTTTTATACCCTCTGGTAGTACCAAATGCGAGGAGGTAACGCCATCTATCGGCAAAAATAATTGAATTAAGACAGTAGAATTTTAAAGGCATTAGGAAGGACTGGATTGGACTTCAAATCATTAACTAAACTTTCTAAATCTTTGTGAATGTGAAAAGCCTCATGAAAATCCAATTCGCCTATGGAAGAAGCCTTTTGGATGATTTTTGCAGACCCAAAATCAAAATTATGGTTAAAAGTCCAGCTATGATACGCTATTGAAGACTTGTTAATTTCCCCTTTTTTGACATAAGATTCATGTTCCTTGATACGAAACTTCAACGCTCTTTTTGTTTGGCCAATATATCTTAAACCACACTGACATGATATACTATAAATTCCCCAAGAATTCAAGACAGAAACGCAATCTTTTAGAATCGAAGGGTGAATTTTTAATAGGGAGGAAAGAAGAAACCGACTTGAAAATTGAATTTCTGGAGAATCCGTGCAATTTTATAGCTAACAGAAGGATAAAATGGAAGCACGACAAGGTCATTGATATTATTTCTAACAGTGGAATGTCTTCTTTGATGGGAATCTGAAAATTTTTTGACGGCTTTATCAATAATCACCGGAGAAAATCCACGGTCAATCGCAACTGCTCTCAAATAATTAAGTTCATTGGTAAGCAAAGATTCAGAGGAACAAACTTTTAGCGCGCGGAAAACATAATAGTAAAAAGAAGCCATTTTTTGCTTAGCAGGGTGGCATGACTTGGCATGGGGTGGTAAACAAACTGCAAAGGGTTTACGGTACACAGTGGTGCTAAAATCGGTTTCATTGCGGATTATAAGAATATCGAGGAAGGGGAGGGAATTGTTGGATTCAATTTCAAGAGTGAATTGGATGGCTGGATCAATTGAATTCATAATAGATAAAATCTCGGATAAAAGTGCGAAAGTGTCGTCAACATACCGAATCCAAAGACGAAAAGATAATTTATCAAATAATTTCATCTCAAAATAGTGCATATAAATGTCAGCAAGTACCGGACTGAGAGGATTACCCATAGCCAATCCTTCAACTTGACGAAAATATGCATTCTGGAAAACAAAGTGGGTTTGACTTAGAGAAACTTTAGTAAGCGAAACCAACTCATTAATTTCAGTATGTGTGAAGTGAAATTCCCGAAGCCTAGTTTCAAGACAATTTAGTGCTCCTTCGACCGGAACATTAGTAAGCACTAAATTGGGAAGGATTTATCCGAGATTCTATCTATTATGAATTCAATTGATCCAGCCATCCAATTCACTCTTGAAATTGAATCCAACAATTCCTCCCCCCTTCCTCGATATTCTTAAAATCCGCAATGAAACCGATTTTAGTTCACCACTGTGTACCGTAAACCCTTTGCAGTTTGTTTACCACCCTATGCCAAGTCATGCCACCCTGTTTAAGCAAAAAAATGGCTTCTTTTTACTATTATGTATTTCCGCGCGCTCAAAGTTTGTTCCTCTGAATCTTTGCTTACCAATGAACTTAATTATTTGAGAGCAGTT